AAAAAAAAAACCTGTTCTGGTAGACTATCACTAAGAAAAGAGTCTCAGGGAAGGGCCAGACAGGCCTGTAAATGCTAATAAAAGGTTTGAGCCATTTGGTAGAAAGTGTGACAATATCAAAAAGCTTAATTTGGAGAGTATGTGATAAGATACAAATATGAAGGATGGATTAGAAGGAAGAAGATTGAAGGAAGGGAATTCAACAACTATGTGAGAGATAAAGATTCCAATTAAGCTAATGGCAAAGCAGGAGGAAAAGAAGCAACTGACCAGATACTAAATATCTTACTTAAGAAAGATCCCCCTCCCTTGGGTGGCACCTGTGGCTCAGTGAGTAGGGCACCGGCCCCATAAACCCAGCCCCAGTAGAGGTAGTAGAGGTAAGAGAGGTAGTAGAGGTTGTTGGCACTAAGTCTACTATTAACCTTTTTCTCTTCTGGCATCACATTCTCTTGCACATCATTCATTGAAAAATATAAACAAGATGTTCCTGAAAATTTCACTTATATTTTAACAACCACTTTTCTATATGTATTATTATTATTCTGAAATTAGAGCATTTATGAATATTTTTGGAACCTACAACTGATTAGAGTAATAACAAATGGAGCTATTGAGAACAGTCTATTTAGAGACTAAACAAACTTAGTCTGAAGTTTTTGACTATTTTTTTCTTTTATCCTAACCACCAGATGACCAGGGAAGTCTTAAGTCTATTTATTTTTTATTTTTTTGAGATAGAGTCTCACTCTGTCATCCTGGGTAGAATGCCGAAGTGTTATAGCTCATAGCAAACTCAAACACTTTAGCTCAAGTGATCCCCTTGGCTCAGCACCCGAGTAGCTGGGACTATGGACACCCACCACAACGCCCTACTAGTTTAGTCTGAAGTTTAAATATGATATCATGCAAGCCAACATTTCTCTCAGGAAACCAGCTTTAAAATTAACAGTTTGGGGCAGTTTTCTTCCTCTCACTAACTTTTTAAATAAAATAAAAATGCTTTATGCATGATAATGGTCCCTATCTCCTAAATTGCACTGTGTTAATTCTATCCAAGAATAAGAGGGACATGTACTTTTGTCATTATCCATCTCTCCTTGCCTATGGTGGCAAAATAATTAAGGATATTCACTTATAAAGCAAAAAAGGCATATAGGACCTTACAAAAGGTGAAGAAGAATGGTGAAACACAAAAACCCCTGAGTGGACAGTTTGAAAGCCTATGTTCTGGACCTCTTAGGTTCTCATCCCTTTCTTTCCATGAGTCCCTGCTACAATTCTGGAAACCATAGCAAATGTCTAGTAGCAAGGTCAATAAAATATATACAGGCCGCGTGTATAATGGCTCACGCCTATAATCCTAGCACTCTAAAAGGCCGAGCTGAGAGGGTCCCATGAGCTCAAGAGTTTGAGACCAGTCTGAGCAAGAACAAGACCTCTTCTCTACTAAAAACAGAAAAACATTAGCTAGGTGAAGTGGTGGGCCAGTCACTGTAGGCCCAGTGACTCCGGAGGCTGAGGCAGGAAGATTGCTTGAGCCCCGGAGTTTGAGGTTGCTGTGGCCTAGCCTGATGTCATGGTACTCTAGCCTGGGCAAGAGCACTTGTTTGATGATCTTCAATCAAAAAAAAGAGAGAGAGAGAGAAAATAATATACTAAAGAAGGCATTCTACAGTTAACTACAAGTTAAAAACAATCTTCAATGAAAGAAGGTAAGTCTAATAGTAGGACAGACTTCAAAACTGGCTGTTCTTTTCTTCACAGAAGGAACAACAAACCAAATATGTAAATGTTAAAACAAAAAGTATAAAAGTAGTTTTTGAGTTTTGCTGATAGGCATGAAGAAGCACTCACTATACTGAACAATAAAACATATGTATACAAAAATTAGGCACAAATTAAATCTGCCACCAGATCTCTGTTCAACAGTTTTCAGCCCTCGAGTCCCAGTTCTTCAGTCCTCCACATAGAACTCACTAAACTGGAATTGTTCATTAGGTCTGTAAGACAAGGCTCATTAAGAAACTCAATCAAGGCTCAGCACCTGTAACTGAAGCCACTAAGGCACCAGCCACATATGCCAGAGCTGGAGGGTTCCAATCTGGCCCGGGCCTGCCAAACAATGACTACCACAGCCAAAAAATAGCCCGGTATTGTGGCAGGTGCCTACAGTCCCAACTACTTGGGAGGCTGAGGCAAGAGAATTGCTTAAGCCCAGGAGTTGGAGGTTGCTGTGAGCTGTGATGCCACAGCACCCTACTGAGAGTGACAAAATTAGGTTCTTTCTCAAAAAAATTAAAAAAAGAAAAAGAAAAGAAACCCAATTAATGAGTGTCACTGAATCAAATTTATTTGAAAATTAACTCATGCTTTTTTTTTTTTTTTTGAGACAGAGCCTCAAGCTGTCCCCCTGGGTAGAGTGCCATGGCATTACAGCTCACAGCAACCTCCAACTCCTGGGCTCAAGCGAGTCTCCTGCCTCAGCCTCCCAAGTAGCTGGGACCACAGGCGCCCGCCACAACGCCCGGCTATTTTTTGGTTGCAGCCGTCATTGTTGTTTGGCGGGTCCGGGCTGGGGATTCGAACCTGCCACCTTAGGTGTACGTGGCTGGCGCCTTAGCCGGTTGAGCTATAGGTGCCGAGCCAACTCATGCTTTTTTTAAAACAGCAAAATTTCATAAAACTTAAAAAAGAAAACCCACCAACTTTCCATTGGTGGGAAAGCGGAAACCAAGTGGAAACCCCAACTTTCCATTGTTATTAGCTTTAATCCCTATGTACTTTATCTGTGAGGTCAAAACTGGCCATGGAACCCATTACCCCACAAAAGTGTTTTGAAGTTCTACAGAGAACAGTTTACAAAGCAGGAGATTTTACTTAAAACCCAACAAGGAAGCATGACCTGCCCTGGGCTCTGCATCACATCCAGGCGTGGCATGGGGGACAATGTCACTCCTGTCCCTCACCGTCTTCTACCTTCACTGGATTTATCTTCATGGAGGCTGTTGTGGCCCTTCAGTGAATTTGACTAACTCTGAACCTAGCCAATAAAGTAATCTTTTTTTTTTTTTGCAGTTTTTTTGGCCAGGGTTTGAACCTACCACCTCCAGCATATAGGGCTGGCACCCTACTCCTTGAGCCACAGGTACCACCCCAATAAAGTAATCTTAACTGCCCACTGTTTTTCCCCATCCGGGACATTCATCATCATCATAAATTTATATTTCTTTTTTCGTTGTTGTTTTTTGGATGGGGGGGTTATTTGTTTGTTTTTTGAGACAGGGTAGTGCTCTATTGCCCAGGCTGGAATACAGTGACCTGATCATAGCTCACTATTGCCTCAAACTCCTGGGTTCAAGAGATCATCATACCTTGGCCTCCCAAGTAGACTACAGGTACACACTGCCATGCCTGGCTGTTTATTGTTGTTGTTTTTTTTTTGTTGTTAAATAAAGGGTCTCACCATGTTGCCCACACTGATCCCAGACGCCTGGCCTCACAAGACCTTTCCACGTCAGCCTTCCAAAGTACTGGGATTATAGGTAAGAGCCACTGTGGCTAGCCATTAATATTTCTGATGATTCTCAGTCATCTATATATATGTAGATGAGTCTAAGATCATGACTATAAGTGTTTTTTTCATTATTAATTCACAGTATCTTTTCTTAAGACTAAGAAGATCCTTCCTTTAGGATCTATGTATGATAGACTGACTGATGAAGTCACTTAGCTACAGAATAAAATTAAACAGCTATCCCAACTTTTTACCTGGTGATCATCTTTAGCTAACATGCCTATTCTCTCTAGTATTTAAAGCATATTATCATTTTTTTGAACTGAGGACTTTGGGAAGCACTGTTAAGCAACTCTGTTTAATATTTGTTGAAACACGTGAAATCAGTTTCCCTTCAAATTGCTAGTTCTGGGACTAGCTGACTGAAAACTAACTTTGATATTACAAAAATGATTCATAAAATTGAGATCTAGTTTTCCTAAACCATTGAACATTTTATTTTTATAGAGAGAGGGTCTAGTTGGAATAGAGTCATGTTACTATAGTTCACTGCAGCCTTAAAACTCCTGGGCTCAAGTGATCCTCCCACCTCAGCCTATAGCTGAAACGATAAGTGACACCACCATGCCCAGCTAATCTTTTAATTTTTTTAATCTTTTTTTTTTTTTTTAGACAAAGTCTCACTATGTTTCCCTCAGTAGAGTTCCATGGCATCACAGCTCACACCAACCTCCAACTCCTGTGCTTAAGTGATTCACTTGCCTCAGCCTCCCAAGTAGCTAGAACTACAGGCACCTGCCACAACACCTAGCTATTGGCTTTTTTTTTTTTGGTTATAGTTGTCATTGTTGTTTGGCAGGCCTGGGCTGGGTTTGAACCTGTCAGCTCCAGTGTATGTGGCTTGTGCCCTAGCCGCTGAGCTATAGGCATCAAGCCAATTTTTTAAATCTTTTTAATTTTTGGTAGGGACTCAGGTATCACTGTGTTGCCCAGGCTGGTCCTGCACTCCTGGCCTCATGTGATCCTCCTGCCTCAGCCTCCCAAAGCAATGGGATTACAGTATGAACCACTGTTACTGGCCAACATCTCAAATAAGAGAATGGAAGAAGAAATTATTTAAATGTACCTAAAAAACCAAAGTCTACTTAAAGGTAAAAATCTACCTTTAACTTTTTAGCTAAAGTTCAAACAACAGCCCAGTTATCAATTCTGAAGCCGATAATAAAGTTGATTTCCATATCCAATGACCTATCTATACTGAAATGTTATTAATATTCAGTATTAAATGTCCCCAAACAAGCAAAAAATAATAGAATAGCTGTTTTGTATTATATACCACCAAATTTGCTTGCCAATATTTATATAAAAGCAGAAAGACACAGCTAAAATTCCATAGGTTAAATAATATAGCATATAATGTAAAATGAAGTATTACATAATTTAAGGCACAAATGTTAATTTTCGATCTCTAAGGAAAAAACACCAAGTTTCAATATGCCAAAGATAATGAATATTAAAAACTATAGTAAAAAACCAGGATTTAATACAATTAAAATTACAACAGAACACATTCAGAACTAGAACAGGCAGAGTCAAATGGGTTTAAAGGCCTGTGCTGCCTGAGATGGCATGAGCTTACCCGGTTCTCATCATAAATAATCTGGACAATGCTGCGGTGTTTCTGCTCCACAGGAGGAGGGGACACAGGCTTCTCAGGCTCAGGAGGTTTAGCTGCTTCTTCCTCAAGCTGTTGCTAAGAGAACCAAAAAGGAAGAGTCAAGCATCTGCTGCACATCAGAGACAGCACATACCAATGAGCACTGCTTCCTGCTTCTGTGAGATGGCCATTTCATCCACAAGGGTCTCACAGACCCAAGAGCTCAAAGAAAAACAATCAGATTTATTTTGACTAATAACTACACAATAAAATACAAAAGATACATCAATTTTTTTAAAAAAAACTAAGGGGAAAGGGCGGCGCTCAATGGGTAGGGCACTGGCCCCATATACTGAGGGTGGCATGTTTAGGCCCAGCACCCGCCAAACTGCAACAGAAAAACAGCCGGGCATTCTGGCAGGCACCTGTGGTCCCAGCTACTCAGGAGGCTGAGGCAAGAGAATCGCCTAAGCCCAGGAGTTGGAGGTTGCTGTGAGCTGTGTGACACCAAGGCACTCTACCGAGGGCAATAAAGTAAGACTCTGTCTCTCCAAAAAAAAAAAAAAAACCAAAAACTAAGGGGAAGTATCTAATAAGATTTTTTCTGATAAATGTAAAGCAATATAATAAGAGAAATGAAATTTAATGAAAGTACGCTATAAATGCCCATCATAATGACCTTTGATGGCACTGGAAAAATAGTCTCAGATGTTACAGAAATGTAGTATATATTAATGTCTGGTAGGGAGAATACAGTAAAAAGGAGTCTGAGGATTAATCCTTAATTCAGCACAGCAGCCTGCCACCCACAACTTTTCCATTTTATATTGCTTCAGTCAAGAGGCATTAGGTACAACTACAAAAATACATACTGCTGGTATGTGCAATTATAAAGCAAAAAGCTATCTGTACTATTCTGCCCAGGTTCGGATCTCAGGGTCACCCTTTAAAAATAAGTCTGATCTGGGTGGCACCCGCAGCTCAGTGGGTTAGGCACCAGCCACATACACCCAGGCTGGCAGGTTCAAACCCAGCCCGGGCCAGCTAAACAACAATGATAACTGCAACAAAAAAAATAGCCGGGCATCGTGGCGGGGACCAGTAGTCCCAGCTGCTTGGAGGCTGAGGCAAAAGAATTGCTTAAGCCCAAGTTGGAAGTTGTTGTGAGCTATGACGCCATGACACTCTACTGAGGATGACATAGTGAGACTCTGTCTCAATTTTATTTCAAAAAATTTTTAAAATTTAAAACAACAACAACAACAAAAAAACCAAACAAATAAAAAACATAGTCTGATCAAAGAACCCAGAAAGGTCCTTCCTTCAATCTTAACAAGTATGCAAACCATACATATGTGAAGCAGGAGTAACAATACTACCTGTTGTTACTGGAATAGCAGGAATAACAATACTACCTATCATTGTTACTATGATAGTACCTATTAGTTAGCCTTTAGAAGGACTAAATAACTTACTATGTACAAACCACATTACAACTACAAATATTCAGCAGATATTACAGAGTATTACTAGTGAGATAAGCAAAGACTTGTCTACTTTGTCCACTGCTCATTTTTTTCCAGCACTGAAATCAATACCTGATATCTCATATTAAACAAATATCCATATGAATAATTATGGTATAAGTCCACTGCCTAAGATGGTAAAAATGACAAGGAGGTAATTAAGGATAAGTATAGCATGAAGTATAGAGGAAAAAATTATCTATACTACTAAGTAAGACTGATGATAGTCAAGAGCTACCAGTCCTATGTCAGACCGTCTTCAAATGGAAGGATAAAAATCTTCCAGGAAAGAACCTTTAGGAACACTTCTACTTTGGAAATGCAAGTACTCTTGTAGTCTATTACCTATGTGAGCAAAAAGGAAAAAAAAAGATATTTGGAGTTCTGAGATCACTTTTATAGAAATGGGCTCTTCAATGGTGGCTTTTTTTCCTGCTTAGAAAGCCGCCTTTTAGAATCCCTGTTAAGATGGGCGATGCCTGTGGCTCATTGAGTAGGGCTCTGGCCCCATATACCGAGGGTAGTGGGTGAGAACCCAGCCCTAGCCAAACTGCAACAAAAAAGCCAGGCGTTGTGGCGGGCGACTGTAGTCCCAGCTACTTGGGAGGCTGAGGCAAGAAAAGCACCTAAGCCTAAGAGCTGGAGGTTGCTGTGAGCTGTAACCTCAAGGCACTCTACTGAGAACACAAAGTGAGACTCTGTCTCTAAAAAAAAAAATCACTGTCAGGCGGCAACTGTGGCTCAAAGGAGTAGAGCACTGCCACCATATACTGGAGGTGGTGGGTTCATCCCAGTCCTGGCCAAAAACTGCAAAAAACAAAATCACTGTCAAGAAATAAACAATCTTTAAAAATAAATAAATAAATAAATAAATAAACAATCCTGAAGAAATCACTTTGTCCTTGGTACCTAAATATCCCTGGGACAAAACTACTCTAACTCAAAGACTAAAATCAAACTCCCCCCAAAATCAAGAACTTTCTTCACCTATCTGTTCCTTTGCATTAACAATTTGATCATGTTTAAAATATAAATTTAATTGGAATTTTTATTGAAACTGTATGAAATACAAATTAATGCAAGATGAGCACACATTGTTAACAATGTGTTTCTACCCAGCTACAATATATTTCTTTATTTTCTCTACTTGTCCTCATATGTCCTAATAAAATTTGTAGCTTCTATATATCTTATAATGGTCATATATTATATTTCATTATTCTAGTTATTACAGTGTATCTCACAATGGTCGTACAATATATTGCATCATTGCTAATTGTTATAATGTGTTACACACACATTTACTATGTGCCACATATTATGCAATATATTCATTACTTCAACACATAAAATAATCGTGAAAAAAATCACGTGATTTAATTGGTGTTATTACTAGTATTACCATTTTCCAAGTAAAGAAACTAAAGCTGGGCGGTGCCTGTGGCTCAGTATGTAAGGCACCGGCCCCATATACTGCGGATGGTGAGTTCAAACCTGGCCCCAGCCAAACTGCAACAAAAAAATAGCTGGGCCTTCTGGTGGGCACCTGTAGTCCCAGCTACTCGGGAGGCTGAGGCAAGAGTAGCCTAGGCCCAGGAGTGGGAGGTTCCTGTGAGCTGTGACACCATGGCACTGTACCTAGGGAGATAAAGTGAGATTCTGTCTCTAAAAAAAATAAAAATAAAAAATAAAGAAACTAAAGCCTAAAGAAAGAGGAGAGGAAAGGGGAAAGAAAGAGGCTCAGGAAATCAGACCCACAAAGACTTAGCATATTACTAAACTTTAATATGATTTAACAAAAGCATTAAAAAGACTGAGCTGGTCTGAGAAGGAACCAAATTAGAAATTCCAGAAATAAAAACCTAATTATTAAAATGGAGACAGATTTGAGAGCAGATTTACATATAATTGAAAAAAAAAGTCAACTGGAAGACAGACTAAAGACATTTCCCATAATAAAGCCAAAACAAGTAAAAATGGGAAATAGAAAATCAAAATAGCAAATCAAAACTACTTCAAGATATCATCTAACTCTAGTAGGATTAGCCCACATCACAAAATCCCAAAACCAGAGATGTTGGCATGGATGTGGAGAAGGGAACACTTCTACACTGCTGGTGGGAATGCAAACTAATATGCTCCTTTTGAAAAGATGTTGAGATCACTTAGGAATCTAAAAATAGACCTGCCACTCGATCCTACAATTCCTCTACTAGGTATATATCCAGAAGACCAAAAATCACAATACAACAAAGATACATGTACCAGAATGTTTATTGCAGCCCAATTCATAATTGCTAAGTCATGGAAGAAGCCAAAGTGCCCACTGACCCATGAATCGATTAATAAATTGTGCTATATGGGGCAACACCTATGGCTCAGTGAGCAGGACACTGGCTCCATATACTGAGGGTGGTGGGTTCGAACCTGGCCTGGCCAAAACTGCAACAAAAAATAGCTGGGCGTTGTGGCAGGCGCCTGTAGTCCCAGCTACTTGGGAGGCTGAGGCAAGAGAATCGCCTAAGCTCAAGAGCTAGAGGTTGCTGTG